AGGCACAATAATTGAGTGAACTTCTTTAAAAAAAATAGAGAAAACTACTAAGAGCTCGCTTTGTTCAGAAATGTGGTATTTTTACGCTGGAAGATGAAGCTGGTTCTTGGGTTGCATCTCAGAAGCAGGGAATATTTTTAAACGGTATTTTCAGCTTTTGACTCATCCGACGCGAGAGAGGTATTTCTGAATCCATTTGTCCTGCTTTAAACAAGCCGCGTTTTGCATCTCGTGCCAAGTAGCCGTCTTGCAAAGTGTTTTTTTTTTTTTTTTCAAAATTGCGGTTGTGTCGAGGCGTGTCTAGACGTATGCAGATGATGCAGGTGTGTATGTGTGTTTGGTGGCACTTGTCGGACGACTTCTTGCTGGAGTTTTCTGGCTAATGAACAATTGCTATTTTGGATGCGAGAGATTATTTTTATTTAATTTTTTTTTGCTGACTGGGTCCGGATTTGTGTGAAGTGCGATGCATTTTTGGCCGAGATTTCTGGCTGCTTTGCCAACATTTTTGCGCCAACACGTTGTTTGCGAAATTGGTGCAATTATGAGAATGTACGGTTTGAACCTCGAAACTCCCCAAGTCGATTCAAGAAAAAAAAAAGTTCATGTCTGAATTTCTTTTCGAGACAGTTCATTAAAAAATTCACCGACTCCAATTCTTCTCCCCCCCCCCCCAAACCTCCACAACTCAAATTTTCTGGAGGCATTTTTGCCTATTATTTTATTGACCCAGGAAAGAGAAAAGCGATCGAAATTACCTTGATGCGTTTTGAATTGAAGTGACAACTAATTTGGAAATGCAGGCCATGCTTCTTAGTTCAGCATCCTGTCATTTTTTTCACAAAGCATTTTTAAGCCCAGAATCATCAATTATCATTACATCAAGCATTTTTATCATCAATTGAAATTTACTGTAATTATTCTTTCTCCCCCTCCGCCCAAATGATTCTTTCCGCTTTTCAAGTCAATTTATTCTCTGGTCCCTTGAAGTTTGTCTGAAGGAGTTTTCACTGTCCAACAACTGTAAAACATCAATTCTGCGTCGCACCTTGCTTTTTGAGGCTCTGAAGCGGAAAACAAATGTTCGCTGTCAAATGTAGGATGCGTTGTCATGTGCCTTGGGTTGTGTTAGAAACTGTTGTGTTCGGTGGTCCGAAAACTGAACCAGATTTACTGTAGGAGTGTAGGGGATAATTTGATATCTCCCCGAGAACCAGGGATCTGAGAGTCCTTTGAAGGTCTGACCGTGCTATGTGTTAGAAACTGTTGTGTTCGGTGGTCCGAAAACTGAACCAGATTTACTGTAGGAGTGTAGGGGATAATCTGCTATCTCCCCGAGAACCAGGGATCTGAGAGTCCTTTGAAGGTCTTACCGTGCTGCGTTGGTCGAATATAGTAGATGGGGTGAATACGGTACTGAGCGATGCTCTTGACGTGGTGGATTAGGAAAGGCGCGAAAACTGCTCTGTTGAGGGAAAAGTCGAAGACGCGCGGAGCGTTCATCTTGAATTCTTCTGGCGAAGACACGTTGATCGAATCATTCGGTCTTATCGTTGTGTCCGGTGAATGCTGTACTGTTGTTGTCTTAAACTGGCGAAGGTGTGTGTGTCTTCGTCGTTGGTCTTGTATTATTCGCGAGGTCATTGCCTGATCTATTGTGCGACGGAAGGAAATCTGAGTGACTGACGTGTCTGTTGCACTAGCGCGTGCTGATGCACGCGGAAGTTCACAAGTTCACTTTCGATGCTTCGCGCGCGGCGCTCGTAACCCTGAATCCTTTCGGTTCCGGAACCCGTTTTATTTTTGCGCCGTGGTTCATGAACGCGGACGAAAGGGAATGAAGGAAAGAACTCGCGGGTGTTCCGGTGTGAGCTAGTTTTGGATGGGTTGGAAAAAGAAATCGTGTGACGTGGCCCACTGCGCGTTACTTGGGGAGTTCAGTACAGTATGTTTCGAGGTGTTCGCTTGCCCTTCATCGCGCATTTTAAGAAATGCCATAAAATCTTGTTGCAACGAATACTGTTACAACACAATTTTTAGTGTAGCAAAGTTTTTTACAAGTCTTGGCAGAAATCCTATCGGAGTAATGTATAGATTACATGTACTGTACATGGGTATACAAATCTTGTTACAACAGACTCTCTACAAGTCTTGGCAGAAATTGTATAGGAGTAATGTATAGGTTACATGGGTATACAAATCTTGTTACAACAAACCTCCAATTCCAGTGTATCAAACTTGTTTTGAAGGACATCTTGGGATTCTCCTAATGAAAAATCTCCAATGAAGGCAGGCTCAGTCTAAAATTTCCCATGCAAAATGTAACTGTGGCTATTTCTCCTTGGGACATGAATGGAAGGTGGAATCAAGGATACAAGTTCTCCAAAATTCACCCTAACACCCCCTCCTTCAAAAATGTTTTCATGGGTATAAGAATAATGGATAATGACCCCAAAAACTTGGACGTTAAAAGGGTAGTTTTGGATGCTTGTGAAACCCTACTGATGCTTAATAACTAATTTTTTTGGAACACCCCTTATGAATCTGTGCAGGGATCGCCGAGAAGAACTTGAAGTCTACCTTGAAGAGTAAAAATTTGTATTGCCATTTGAATTTTGTTCTGAGGATCAGTGTTTGAAACATACAAATACATCTGAAAATACTGCAAATGGAAGATCTTGAATATACTCATGTTCAATTAAAAAAATCTTCCCAGTACTGTTGTAGATATTGAAAAAAATCTTGTTATTAAAAATAATACGTTGCAGCAAACTTTTTCTGAGGTCCTTGTGAGTTCGTTGTAGCAAGATTTTACTGTACCAGTAGCCACCAGTGGCGGCCCTAGGGTGGGGCGAGAGGGGCGGCCGCCCCAGGCCCCGCGCTTGAGGGGGCCCCGCACTCAAGGACGGCCCCGCCATTCAGTGGCTCTGAAAATTGGCTGTCCCCTTCAAAATGTTTTCCACGTTTTTAAAACTGGAAGGAGTGGGGCCCCCTTCTAAAAAAACTAGTCTATTCTTACCTCTTTACAAAGTTTGCTGACAAGTAATCTTATCCATTAGCAGAGCACAACAGAGCCAACAATGCATTTAGAAGAATATTTGCATAGGAGCTTTCCTACTGTATATATATATTTCAATCTTCACTGAAATTTCTGTTGAAGATAAATGCATTTTCACATTTCATGAGGTCTTGTTGATTTCTTAAAAATAAGAATTCAAATAGAAACAATGCATATGGAATTTTGAATCACCATTAAATACTGTAATGGTAATCCTCAATGTTAAACTTTCCCATGTAGTTTATGCAATTATGGTCCAATTTGCAATCAATATTTCTGAAAATATGATGATCAAAATTACAATGAAATTCACATTCATTCATTATGACTTCAAAGTAAATATGCTGCTTTCTCTATTATGGATAGAATAATATTTTTTTTGGAACTTGCTAGAGCATGAACTTTATTGAGTTTAATTATCTTTTGTAATTGCATTTCCAATGTATCCCTGGCAAACCTCACAAGAACAATTCCTTTTAAATTCCCCTGAATGGGAAGTTTTTGGATCTAAAGCTAGTCCCTTGCCAGTAAAATTATCCTGCAGAAATGCATTTCTGTTATAAAGTGCAGGCCAGATTTTAGAGCAGCTGTTCCAAAAAAATGAGAAAAATAATATCTGTGATGTTTTTATAAACAGATAAGCTGCATTTCTAAACATTGGTACTNTGTTTTTATAAACAGATAAGCTGAATTTCTAAACATTGGTACTGTGTTAATGAGCAACATTTATAAGAAGCTCAGAAAATGATTTTCTCAATCAACCTGTATACACAAATTAGGCCATCATTGTGAAACTTGAAAACTGCCATGACAATTTTTTAAAGTCCTCTCAAGTTCATCCTGAAGATTATGAGCAGTATAACTGATACATCAGATACATTTTCCAGAATAACACATGCAAAAAAATGCATTTAATCTGCAGAATTTTAAAATAAATGAATGCTGATCAGCTTAATTTGGTCTCATGATCTCTCATCACAAAGATGATAGCCATTGAGTTTTGATTAGCTGCACTTCTTTTCTGCAGTAATTATTATTGCTATTATATCAATTTTATCTGCAATGTTCATTTTGGTTATTGGTTATTTTAAATTTTGAAAATTTGAATTGTAAAACCAATTCAGCCAAAACAAACAATTCTGCATTTAAAATATGCTATAGTAAAAAATGCTATAGTACAAGTAATTGAAAAAGATTATAAAACATTTAAATTGCAAAAAACCTTTTTATAGCTTTCAAAAATGTAATTAGATTTGCAGCTGTACTCTGATACAAATCTTGTTTTTCATTGTTCCAGTGCTGTTTTAGAATTGGCAGGGAGCATTTTTTAAGGGGCCCCGCATTTGACATGCTTGCCCCAGGCTCCTCATACCCTAGGGCCACCTCTGGTAGCCACTGTACTGTACTGTACTTGTACCTGATGCCACTTGGTACCGCAAGTTTTTCATTTTGAGTTTTTCCGGGTTCCTGATCAGTCCCTGACGTTCGGATTTTTCGATGTAGTAATCTTAATGAAACTCTCAAAGACACGCATTTGGTTGGGAATATTGTAAGAGTGCTAATGAAGGAATCGTTTGAAGGCAGAAATGTCGGAACCGACATCATTTTTAATTTTCTCGTTTTTTAAAACAAGAATTCGATCTTAAAAGAAGACCGAAGACTGGACTTCGTTTGAAATGTCATTTTCATTGCCAGTTACAAGCACCTTCTCAGAAACTCCTCGTCCTTGACATGGAAAGAAGTACAGTACTTTACCGTCCTGTTCTCTACTGTGCTGCAGGAAACGCGATGAGAAATGCTTATTACGACATTTTGAACGCCTTAAATGATCTGACAAATGCCCACACGACAGGTTGCACGTTTCCGAGCGTTCCACCAGGTATCATTATCTAGAAAGCTGGAATGGAATCTTCCAGTTGAATCCTTCAGGTAATTCGAGAAAATGTGGAAATGCTCCCTTAAAGTTGATGTAGATCGTGCTGACGTAAGTAAGGAAGCTATGAGCCAGGCTTATCCGAAATTGTTGGTACTGAATTGTCTTATTTTCACGATCATCGGAAGCATTGATGAATGTGAGGAACTTCCGTATTTCAACGTGAAGGTTGCTACGTTGGGTTTTACCTGAAACGGAAACAGGACCTTGTCGGATTGAGGATCATACAGTATTACTTCCACGAATTACTGTATCTTGACGTTGCTTCATTAAATTTACGGGGCAGTATTGAAATTAGTTTGTTTGGAAGATGAATTGAAAAGCTTGCCAGCTTTTTTTTGGGCTCTAATGAGTGGGTTTGCGCAGTTACACGCCCATGATGACTCGAGTTCGTATTGTCCCGCGAAAATCTCCAAGTCCTCAGTTCGCCGTGAAAAACTATTTTTTACCTCGTCAATTTTTCGTGCATTTTAAATCCCTGTTTTAGCCAAGTGAAGGAACACCATTTACTTTGTGATTTTTCGTATGGCGCGTCAGTGTAAAATTTAGTATTGCGATGTTCAAGACATTGGGATTGAATTGAAGTGTTGCGATGCTAAATTTGCTTTCGTTCCGCAGGACTACGGTATAACGTTTGAGCTGAACGTGAGCAGCTCTTTGCCGAGGCCCGAGTTCCTCAAAGAAGGTCACTTCATGCGAATACCAGTCAATGACAGTTACGACGCGCGGCTGTTGCCGTACTTTTTTGATGCTTTTGAATTTCTCGGTGAGTCACTCGCATTCGATATCGAAAAAAATTTTCGCACATTTTCGACGATTGGAACTCCGTCTAGTGTCTGAAACGTTTAGCAGCTGTCGCTGGTGTCGACCCTGACTGAACATTTCCAATGCACCTCGAGTAAACCTAACTCCGCATGACACAGTATTTGGTGTAACCTAATGATTACGCTTTAAATACTTCCTCGTGTATTTCATGAAGAAATTTGCAACTTCCTGTCATTTTTCTGTGATGATTCAGTATTATTTTAAGGAGATTGCGTGAACAAAGCTACATTTAATTCAGGGATGCCCGAAATGTTCGTTATTCATGGGGGAATCTTCGGATATTTCTTGCGAGGTGGAAAACCGCTGTTCTATTTTTATTTCAATATTTCAGATAAGGTTCGAGAAGCGAATGGAGTGGTGTTGGTGCACTGCTTGATGGGCATTTCCAGGTCACCAACGGTTGCCATTGCTTATCTCATGTACCTGCGTTCGTTGTCTTCTGAAGAAGCGTACAAGTAAGCTATCACTTATTTTCCTCAGGCCGGAAATTTCGTGGAAGAGTTTGTGCGCACGACGTGTAACCCGCCTCGGTGACACGAATCGTGTCAAGTTACTACGGATGCGTCTTGCGATAGTCGGCGAACCTTTTTATAACTTTTCGATTTGCCTCTATGTCAGACATTCCGTAATGCGCCGGGGTTCGTGGAACTCGTCAACTTTTGCTGTATGATTTCGTTTTCCGCGTGATGTTTCAGTTTCTGCGGTATTGCTCAATATTTGTTGACATTATAGCAGGAAACTTGAAACAGCTTCCGCGTGTAGGAGATTGTTTTCGTTGAACGCACTCTGTAAAAGAGTTATTTACACTGCATTCACTGAAGATTGCGTAACTTATGAGCTTGAAGTTGACGATGCGTGACGCGGCTTAAAAAAAGTACTGTACTGCTGTTGTACATTCTTCTCGTTGGGATGAAAAAGTCTAGATTTTTCTCTCAAGTCCTTCCTTGCTTCCTGGATTCCCAGATAATCATTTTCTTTATCAATGAACTGATCAATAACAGAACATGAAGTAAGTCTTTAAATGTACTGTAGTTCCTGAAACTGGGGCGACAACGGCATTTCTCTGAAGTACGGAAATGAAGTTTCAATGTACAGTACTCTCTTAATTGGGTTGAGAACAGTACCGTATTTTGTTCATTGCAGCTTCTTGGAATGTCAGAGAGGTGTCGCCTGAATAACTTGAATTGAAACCCAAGAATAACCTAGCCGAAATTCAACTACTGTAACCTGACTTGACCTAGCCAGACACTATCTGTATTACATTGAAGTAAACGAACTCGATTAAACTTTACCTCAACACAGTTTGAGAGGCATCGATGTATTTTCGAAGAAAACTAGAGTTGGACTTGAGATTGTAAGAGATGCGAGATGAATATTTTTTTGAATTTTTACTCCGCTGCAAGAACGAAAATTGAACAGGCTGACTGAAGTGCATGTATCTATCTATCGCAGTGTTGCCCAACTCAGATATACCCAAGCGCTACATTAATGCATTTTTTTTCGGCGAATTGCCACATTGCCGAGGTGCATAGTCCTTGAGGGCCGAAATACGCAATTTTTGGGGATCCAAATTTTCCCTTTTTACCTGAAGGAAAAGTTTCACATTTGATTCAGTACCATGCATTGAATAATAAGCATAGCCTTATGAAATTTTCGAAGTGTGGAGGATCATTTTGAACTTTTAAATTCATCTCTCAATGTATTTTTCGAATAGTGGCGGCTGCCAGTTGGTTAATTATAGAGAAGGCACTGCGTCTTTGCGGGCCGTACGTTGCGCAGCACTGATCCATCACATTCCTAATGTTGTCAAACGTACATCTGATCGTGTGAATTTCAGGTTCGTGAAATCACAGAGGACATCAATCTCGCCGAATTTCAACTTCCTCGGCCAGTTGCTGGAGTTCGAAAAGGTGCTGCAGGCGCGACGAGCCTCGTCTTCTCTCCCGCTGGCTTCCCCGAATGCGCCGTTGCCATCTGCTCCCGCGTCCTTGGGGGACAAGCCGCCGCGATTTTTCTCCAGCGTGGATAAGGAAGAGAAAAGAAGTTGCTCCGTCACGTCTTCGTCTTCCTCGTCCAGTTCCGGATGTCGCATGCCGCGTTCTTTGAGTTTGTGCTTCAAGCAGCATCCGTTGATACCTGCTGCTGCGGACTTATCACCCACTACGGCGTTGGCCAAGTTGAGCTTCGATCAGTCTCAGTCGTCGAAGGTGGGTGTTGGGAAGGATCATGTGAGAATTTTGCCTCTCTTGATGGTCGAATTACAGTCAAACCTCGATAAACCGCCACCAATTGTTGTTCGTGGCGGTTTAACGGTGTTGATGGTTTAAAGGGGTTTATTGGTTCATCGGAAAATGCTAAAATATCTGAAAATTTGGTAGATAGTAATTGGAAATAGATTTCTTATTCGTCAAAAAAAACAATCAAAATAACACAGATTCGTAAATAATATCTATCTAATTTTTCTAAGAAGTAAATTGTCATCTTCGGGTTCTTGTTTTTTTATGGAGACCTCTTGCAGAAATTTGAATCTCCTTGGCGAGCCCTCGGAAAACAAAATTAACTGACAGGAGCATATTTGAGTTGTCAGTAATTTTTGCGCACGACGTTTTAACGCAGTGTACAATGCTTCTATCGTCAAGGAAGATTTTATTTTCAAAATACATAGGTGATTGCCGAGGGTGGCGGCTTTATAGGGGGTGCCGTAACAGAGCTTAACGGCCTTAGTCGTCTCTTTTCATGCCACTTTTGCCTTACCGAACTTGGGATGCGGATGCTTCTGTCTTCAATTTCAATTTCGAATTTACGAACGTCTTGTTATTTCGAAGATGAAGAAAGGTCATTTGGGAACTTTTATTCACTTTTTTCAAGACTTGAGTGACTGTTGCATTTTCTTTTCTTTCGCAATGCGTGAGGGCGATTATATTGCTTATACAGTACATGAGGTCTGTTTGTCATTGAAGGTGGGCGAGAAAAGAAGCATTCGCACCATGGTCACGTCCAGCTCAACATCCACCGTGACGACGTCGTTTTCGCGGCATACCGTATCCTCTACGAGTTTTGAGCGCCCCGCGCGGAAGGAGGATGAGGATGTGACATCGCCTACATCGATGCCTGGCAAGAGTCGACGCGTCGAAGTGGAACTGGAAGAAGGTGGTGTCGTTGGCGGCGAGGGGCGAGGAGCACGAAGGCGGCGTTTTGGGCCAGAACGATGGTCCGGATTGTGTCTCAGCTCGTCTGGTTCCGCTGTGGGGGATGGGGCGCGACTTGGTGGTGGCGTTGGTGGCGCCGGCGGTGCTGCCTCCGGCTCGGGGTTTCTGGCTTCCCGTTCTACCTCCGCGGGCATTATCAATAGGTTTGTATTGAGAAATTTGTTCGTGATTTATGCTTGTTACTCCATACTTGATTTTCAAACTTAATACTTAACTTATTGCTGAGTTTTACGCAGTAATATATTTTCATTTGCTGGCCGCTGATCTAACTTTCCTTCACCCAGATTGGAATGGAGAGAACCGGTTGATGTAAATGTATTCCTCAACTCGGGAGAACTAAGGCTTACTAACTGTAATAGCATGTTATGAGAAATTTGCATGGAGTCGAAGTGCTACGAAGTGTCTGAAATAGAGTACTGTAATTTCAGAATTTCGGTGACATTTTTACTATCTTAGAACTTCGAACCATGTTCCATTGAGATAAACGTTCTTATACATGCTAGTGGGTGATGCCGAATGTGAACGGTTCCTTGAATAGTTGAACAATAAGCAAGAAGCAGCGGAAGTTGAGGAAATTAAGATGAATTACTAATTATTCATCGGTTGGAGGATTCTGGCTTGAGATTTGGTATCTGAAGGAGATGGGGATCTCGAGGTTATGACAGAGCTTCTGAGCCATCTTAATTTCCCGTGGAATAATGTTTCCGACATGATGTTGTAATTTGCGAATGAAACTTCTGGGGAGGTTGTTCACTGCCTAGAACGCCGTCGATCCACGAAGTTGGTGACTATACCTATTGTTCTGAGTGTCCTCTATACGTGCACTAGATCCTAGCTTTTTTCAAGTTTTGAATTCTAATTCGAAATTTTTCGTGTTCTCCTGCACGATAATTTCTCCCTAAAGGAGGGCCAGGATGGAGCCACCAACGCCAGCCGTTTCCTCGCAGAATCCGTTCAGCGAAGCTTTTGGAGGCGGATCCAGCACTTATTCGTTGGCGCCTTCGTCATCAACTTCTTCTCGGGCGTGGAGCGTGGCCCGGTCTGACTCGGCCGCGACGACGGCCACATCTGGCCTCGGCTCGGATATCTGCGATTTTGACACCCTTCACGACGCGGACTCTGAGTCATTGGCGGCTTTCTCGGCCTCGTCGCCAATTGAAGAACGCGACGACACGGACAGTGACGAAGATGACGACGTCGTGGGCTGTGAAGACAGAAAGTGCTGTCGGTTGCGTGTTCGGAAGGCAGATGAGGAAGAAGAGGAGGAAGCGGACGTTGACGAAGGGGTCTCGTTACCAACTCCGCGGGGCACGAGCGGTCGGCGGAGATTCGGTGTCGGCAGCGACGACCGTGACGAAGATGTCACTCGTGTTCGAGCACCTACTACTACCTCGACGGGTCTCACGTGTCCGGTCCGTCCGTCCACGCTGACGACCACTATCGGAAGTTTCAATCAGGTGCGTGACACGCTCGTTGAAACATACTTGGACCTCTTCGGAAATGATGAATCCATTTTGAAAATTCGTCGAATTCGATGTTCCTTTCTTTCTCCTCAAATTCAATTGAAAAAATTGAGTCGAATAGCTGAATGGAGCTGATGATATCAATGAAATTCGAAGCCTAGAAGGTTTGAACCCGTTACAGAATCATTTTTAAGTTTTTTTAAATTTTAATTCAATACATTTGCCATCATGATTCGACTTTCGGATGATTAGACTTGAAAAATTTGTGAAAGGTTTGCCTTTTCTATTGAAGTTTGAAACCAAAATAGGGTACCTGTATGTGCGAAAATTTGACAAAAATAATTCGCCAGCAATTGAAATACGCTCTACTTCAGCCTACATTCAAATTATAGCACATTACAGTTACATATTAAAACTACAGAAGTTCGAAGGTCAGTTTGAAAATTGGGTTTACCGTATTCAACATGTCGGCTCAGGGTTTTAGAACAGTACTGTATTACCCCTTTGATGGTATGAGTACAGTGAAGGGGAAATTTCTTGAAGGGAACACTTCAGGATTCAGTTAGCGTTACCAAGTTCGCAGGCGTTCTTCTACGCCCTTTTTGTCTCTTTGTTTCCACTTCATTATCAGGAGTGATCTAATACCGGTTTGAAATGATGAGATAATTTGCGACTGAAGCGGGAAGGGAGGTGGTACCTGCCTGAAAACCGCCGTTGATCTTCTCCGCTGGTGGCGCTACTTTATTTTCTGAAGTTATTTACGATAGTGTCATGTTTTTGTTAAAGTCGTGCGGTGTGGATTTCATTCTTGGATTTCTTCACAGCCGAAAACAACTTATGCGTCTTTGACCATCTCGAGTACCTCGCCGGGATTTCGGATACCAATGGAGATTCGGTCAATTAGCCGAGTTTCTCGACAAACTCTCAAACTTTCCGTCTCTGGGACATCTGGGACAACTTTCTCGTCGTCGTCTCTCCCGCTGTCGACGAGCTCGTCTTCATCTTCCTCAGTTCTCGGTGCGTCTGCGATTCGCTTAGAACGAGAACGACACGACAGCGGGGAAGCGCGATCCGTTTTTGGGACGGAATGTGCGTCGCCGTTCATGAGTTCGCCTTCGACACCGACAGAGAAGTCACCTGTCGTGTCCTCGAACCCGTTTTTCAAGTCATTTGGCGGTCAGCAGCGAATGGGTATGTGTTCAGAGCTGGATTCTTCTTGCAGTTGCGTGTACTTGGAAGACTTGATTTTGGAGTTCTGTCTCTCGAGAGAATTCGAGTTTCTTTCATGATGGCTCTAGTTTCAAACTGTGCAAGTTTTCGATGAAACGTGCGATCGGGTCATGCTTCGACTGGAAACTATTTTCATATGATGAAAGTGTTGAATTGTTGTGCTGTTCCAGATGAGTGCAAATCGCCGGATGTCTGTTTGGTGAAGTCAACCATCAGAGATTTCTCAGAGATTAGGCGAGGTACGATTTTTTGCGCATTATCTTGATTTATTACCGGTCTGAAATGATGAGATAATTTGCGACTGAAGCGGGAAGGGAGGTGGTATCTGCCTGAAAACTGCCGTTGATCTTCTCCGCTGGTGGCGTTACTTTATTTTCTGAAATTATTTACGATAGTTCTTGCGGAATCTCATTTTTCCCAGTAGTTTCAAAGTCTCAAGTTGAATCTTGGACTTCAGAACACTAAAGGAAATGAGGATGAGTGAAGTTTTCTTCGACAAAGCATGCTGAGGAGTGCGTTGATCTTGATGGATTTCTGTATCGGGATTTTAAATGTTGCATTAGAAGAAGCTTCTGGAATGCTCTCGATATTCGGTAATTTTGAAGTAACCCCTTAGAATTAAATTATTCCCTTTAGTCGAAGCTGAGTAAGTTTCCTTTAATCGGTGTGATTATCAACTATTGTAATGGGAAATTCCATTTTGGGAATATTTTAAAATGTAAAATTCATAAATAAGACGTCCGTTTTCTGGTTGTCTGTCCAAATCTAAGCTTTTTTGGAAAATTTAGTGCAAACATTGTCTTTTCTGGCCGATTATTGACGTTGCGAACAATGAGACATTCCGTAAGGACCCGTATTGTAGAATTCCTTCATTTCATAGTCCGCGGGACTATCCGCTCTATACTGTGTCGCGTTTTTCCTTTAAAATGCAGAAATAGAGGAGAAGACGAGTGGGAAGAACACGACGGAGGACATCCGGCAAACGCTGGCGATATTCGAGAAGCGAGCGAGCGAAGAGCTGGAGGGAATCCGAAGGGATTTGAAGCGACTGCAAGAAGCGCACTTCGGTAGTAGCACTTCGACGCCTCGTCGTTCGCGCGAAGAAAGCAAGGCGAGCACTGAAGCCATGGACACGGAGTCGCCAGTTTCCGAAATTCCCCGCGTGTTCGACGATGTTCGTACTGCAAAAAAGCGCACTCCGGTAATTTTCCCTCATGTTCTGCAGATTATTTTTGATCATGTGTATTTTAAGTCAAATACTGTTTCGGGTTGCCTCGAAAGTTGCTGTGCAGAGACTTGAAATCTGTGTGGTTAATTTTCGACGCTAGGTACACACGATTCTCAACTCTCAACACCACAGGTTTCCGTCGTATTTTTCCCCTTGACTAACGAAACGTCATTTGACGATACGCAGTTGTCCCCGGGACGGGGGAAAAATTTTATTATAATTTTATTAACTAACTTTCGTGAAAGCATGAATTACCTGAAACGACGGAGCAGAAACTTCTCTCGCCGAAAGAAATTCTTCAACTATTCACAATTTAATTCTGAAATTTTGCTGGGTTACCACTTGTTATACGAAATTAACGTTACGATTTCTTTTGTTCGTGATGAAATGAGAATACCAGCAAAAGCATGTGAAGATTTCTTGGGTTTATAATGAAGCTTTACGTGCAAGAGACTTCTATTTACTGTAATTTTAACGGCGTCAGACTGTTTCTCTTTGTTATAAAAATTTGTTTGGCATTCACGAATATGCGAATGCAAAAGTTTTCGTCTTCTCGGGTGCTGTTGGGTCATAGAAGGGCAGTGTTAGAATTTATGTTGAGGGATGCGAGAAGGGCGGAAACGTGATACGGGAGAATTATCGTATATGTCGCCGATGCAAAATCTCGTAAGATGCAAACCCGCTTCTGACGATTCAAATACATCTTGATTTAAATTTGTGAGCCCGTCGAAGTGTTCTTCACTGAATGAAGACTTGAGATTCAGAAAATTTAGTTTTCTCCGCACACTAACGTATTTTTAGGATTCTATCTTACAAGTTGTTAATCTCGAAGTGGTCGTCTCTTGCGTTACAGGTGTCACAGTTGGTGTTCTCAGCGCCCATGTACAGGACGCAAAGTTGTCCCGGGATGCTGCCGTCGGAGGACTCGTCGTTGCGTTCGACTGATGGCGGCGGTAGTGAGGGAGACTCTGATTCGGACATCAGGCTGTTTCGGCGTCGGCGGCGGAGAGAGCGCATTGACTATGACATGACCGGTGCTGCGAGACATTACGACCTGTGTTTCGACCGCAGCAAGAACCGGAATCGGTATGTGCTCTTTCGAATACTGTATTGAGGACGCTCCGTTCGTGGTTTTTGAGTGTTTCTGGTACAGTCAAATCCCGATAAGTTTCCACCATTTTCCCAGAGCAATTTTGGCGGTTTTAAGGGGTTGGCGGTTTATCGAATCTTTCATTTAAATTTTTTAACCGAAAATACTCGATTTTCCTCCATTAGTCATAGAGATACAGGTTTTCTAGTAACTTCCGTAATTTTCCGAAGAGTATTGCCGTGATCAATGGATTACTCTTTCAGAAAATTAACTTTGCTTCGTCAATTTATGTATTCAAATGTCAAGATTAGGTCAAACGGGGTTTGACTGTATTTCTTGTTCACGATGCGAACTATGTGATGGCCTGAGTGGAAGCAAGAAGACTGACCCAGTTGATTTTGCTTTGGGGCTCTTCTCAAACTGCCAGTGTTGCAAAATGTGATAAGGGAATAAGTGTGGACCCCTTCTTCTTTTTTTCACATCACGATTTTGTTGCCACGAGCAAGAGAATCCATTCAATTTTATGATGCTTTTGAGTGAGAAATTACCTTTTTTGCCATGGAAGAATGGAGGATTGAAACGGATTTGAAATTCGTGATGATTTTGTTTCAAAACCGCTTTGTAAAGTTGAGATGTTGAACGTGGAGGAAGGGTTCGATTTGCCCAATTAGTCATTCCCTTCCAAACACAGGGTTAATTTTTCGACGCTTTTCTCTTTTCTGTGTCAAGAAAATAATAGCCAGAAAGCCTAACAAATTTCCGAGTTACTGAGGGTTGAGAAGGGAAGCCTTCGAGTTGGAGGTTTTCGATGCATTGTTTTTGATGGAATTGAGTCAGGGACTTGAAAATGATTCAATTTAGGGAGATATTTGACTTGGAACGGTTCGAATCATCGAGGTTCAAATGTAATTTGTGACCGTGCACTTTAAAGTGTTTAACGAATGCTCAGTTTCATGCCCCTGCTACAGCTTGAAAATTTTTAAAACTCTATCGAAGAAGTATGGAAACCTTTCTATCTTAAATTTTGAACATTATTCATAATATTTTGTTGCCGAGTCTCATTACTTCTCGAATTTTCTGTACCATTTCCGTCGAGCAGTCACTGAGCACATGCAAATTGCCCAACGTGCCCTGAGGGCTATCTGGCTCCTTAGCAAGGAAACCCCGCTCTTACACGTGTTATTGTTCTCTCCGACAGGTATTCGTGTGGGAACTTGGAGTTCGACAGTTGCCCGGACATCCCGCACTTCCGCGGATGCCAGAGCGCCTTTCCGTCGCCGCACGGTAGCTCATCCTCAAGCGGTTGCCTTTCGCTTGAAAACATTTTTTGACACTAGGAGAGAGTGAGCGAGCGAGCGAGCGCAGGTATGGAACGAAAGTTGGAAGCATTATACGCTTCCGTTGTTCTATCAGGAGTCGGTTTTTTTTGTTTTGTTTGCGATGACATATCACGCCTTTCTTGCTTCTTAGTTGCAGCGCACGGAATTTTCCGGACGGTTCAGGCATTCGATGCAGTTAACCAGACGTTGGGAGGAATTTTAATGTTCAAATATCGCATTTTTCCGTGAAATTCACGAATGAATTGGGAGGGTATTTTTGAAATTGTCCGAAGTTTTCCCCGAATTTCTGAAGTCGCTTCTTCCAAGGAGGTCTGGGCATTTTTCTCATCGCTTCACGTATTCGATCTGGGTGTTCAGTCTGGAATCCAGAATTCTAGATCAAGTTTATTAGTGCAGTATTCTCTTGTCATTTCCTCTGTTCGGAAACTCTCCTCCACTTTATAGCGAATGGATCATTCTAAGGTTAGGCTTGAAAAATAACCCATACATGTATTACTTTCAGTAGATGGTCTCAACGCAGTCGCACGAAACCATAGTTCTTGTCGGTTCTCTCCTCACAATAACAGAAAAAAAACTCGTTACGCCACTATGAAAGATTTAATTGACCATGCACTCGTACTTCCTCGTCTATCTCACTTGTAATCAAGGGTACTGCTTCAATTTTGATTGAAGAACGTACGTGTTCTGTTTGGAATGTTCGAGAAATTGAAGGGTTGGAACGGAGAATTAGCGAGAGGGTATTCAATCATTTGAGTGTGTTGACCATGTGCTCACTGCATGCAATTTTTTATCTTCAAACTTCGCTGGGGATAAATCATGTACGCTTTAAACTTCCACAACCCGAGTAAAAGCTCCTAAGATAATATAAAATTGCTGACCCGGTTTTTGCATGGAGAAAACGTCATGTTGCCCTAATCCTGGAAATCGAGGTATAGTACTTTTCGAAAGTATGCACAGTAACCTTAACAAATTTAGCTGTCTTATCCTATTCCAGCCGTTGTAACCACTCGTGGACACCATTGTACCTTATCTTGGCTCTAGTTCTCTCCGGGAGAAGTTCCATCTTTATGGTTCGTGATACATTTTCTTGAGACCAGGCTGACGATATATTCTGAAAGTGTAATAGTCGAAATTCAAAATAAAAACAGAAATGCCCAAACCGCGTTGAATTGAGCGCACGAAAATTCCTGGGATGCTTCAAGTTAGTCGATCTTGCGCTGATGGGATGTGCTTCAGTCTTTAAATGTGGCGAAGATATGAGAATAGTCGTGCGACTCTAGACGATTTCTATATGATCAGGCGGTCTTTATGGCTCTATAGTCTCGGTACCTGACGCAGAGGGAAGCGCTAGTCTCGCTTTACATTTCCCTTCTGTTGGAAGCCAGAGACTGAAAAATGCAAATTAGCCAAGGAAATTCAGTGTTGCATTGTGAGCATTATCAAAGGCTCACGGTTTAATTTCCGATAGATTCGGCGGCAGTTACCCGGGGCTTGGAAAGTGTTGCTTTTTTTGTTCGTGTTTTTTTTTCCGAAAGATTTTTTGTTATTGTGATAAGCAAGTGTCCGTTGTTTTTTTGCGCGGGTAAGAAACGTTTGGTGCACGTCGCAACATTCCAGTACGGCAACGTTATCGAATTTTTTTTTTTTTTCGTTCGTATTTTGTTGTTGTTGGCTTCAGTTCAGAGGCTTTGGACGGTTTGTGAACTAGAAGCTGTTCGCGTTTTTTGGGTCCAGACCCGCTTGCAGATGTGTGAACTGTTCTTTTTTTTTCTAAGGCTGAGCGTGAGTTCTCACATTTGTTTTCATGCATCTGTCTTTCTTTTTGCCTGCTGGTGTTGACGAGTTTTTGTGAATTTTTAGCATGCGAAGGCATTCCTTGGGTTATGGAGATGCGCGAATCGATCACTTTTTCCGCCAGAAAATTGACCAAGAAATTATAGTTATTCTAGGAAGACTTTTTTGCAAGGACTCAAGAATGGAAGACTAGGCTTGGAAAGTTTTGGCGAAATTCGAGAACTTTCACGGTACTAGTTCTGAATCTGCCGCAGAAAAAAATAATTAAAGGTGGATTTTTTTTCCTATTCATTCCCAGCGGTTCGAGAAAGAATAATTCTTACTTATTTATTAAATTACATGCATTTTGAACGAATTCAACCTTTTTTTCGCTGTTTACCTTGCTCAGATTGACCGGATTTCACCTGATGCGTTTACTAAATCAATTCTGCGGTAGGGAACAGAACCCATTCATTGCTTCGCATGCTGAATGTCGAGGAGCTCTTATTTGTCTTTAACGTAATAGTTCAATGGAGAAAAGTTCGAGGGCGGAGTTGAGGAACTAACAAAACGCGATGATCAAATAACTGCTGGACGTGATGAAAAAAAAATGCGGTGTTTGATTGATCCTGGCTGTTTATTTCATTGGCAACTCAGCCATTCGAACGGACAGTTGGGGTTTCTCTGCAAAGTTATGTCAAGGACCACAGAACACGTCATGCAAATTTATATCGAACGTGCATTTTGTAGTATGAATTTTGTTGGGCAGTACTGAACAAAGAAACTGTAGTGCCCTGTAATTCACTGATGTTCGCGCTACAACATTTTCTGGAATGCATTGGATTAAGCAGAAGACAGAATTCCATTCAGATTTCTTACAAATGTTTCTATACGCAGTTGAACTTCTTGTGCATTGATTAGGCTGATTTGCCTCTCACGTGTTCCATGTTGAAAAAGCAAGATAAACCATGGCATTTCAGAGTAAAATTTTACCAATGCGCTGAATTGGTGTTTAAATTATATGCGAAACTAAGGTTGGAAAAGAACAGGCCTGTGTCAATCAGAGCAGTTATCTTCAAACTTCACTGGGGCAGTACAGTATACTGTGTAGAAACTTCTTCCCAAAAATTTGATTTCTAAGCCCCCACCCGACAACCGCAATAATTTACTGAATCTGAACTGAGAATAAATTATCCAAAAGCTTCATTTTCACTTCAAGTGGATATGGCAGAGGAAGTAATGAGGGAGATTCTGAATCAAATCCTAGTACAATATAGGGATTATCCATGTTGAGAAGTGATTTCTGCAATAATTATATGAAGAACTCCTGTTCGTGAAATAATGCAACTGAACCCTTTATACTGCCATTGTTGGAACGATAAGAGAGTCCCATGTGATGAAAGGCAATATTCAATAAAAATAGTGTACTGTATTTAATTGGGAAGTGCAGAACAGATAAGTGTATGGTGCAGCACCTTTCTCATTTTTCAAGTATGGAAGAAAGGGTTTGTGGTACACATGCACAAATCCTTCTTGATGGTGGAGAGGTAATACAGTATAAGTGGGTACTATACTTACAGCTTGTATATATATCTATAGAAAGTTTTTTAGAATGACTGCAATATGCGTTCTCCTTTTCAGATGTTATTGAGTATGAGATGGAGCTTAGTTCATGAGATTGTTAGCTTGACTGATTTACTGGTTATGCTGTGGAACAGTTGTGATGAGGCCTTTTATTGGTAACCGCGTTGAATATTACTGTAACATTTGCGAAGTGTTTTCCCCTGCTCTTCATGAAAGCATTTCATTTGAAAAGACTTCCCATTGTGTGAGCTAGCAAGCATTTATTCATTGACAAATTGTAAAATCTCCTTATTTCTCCCATCTGCTGGAAATATAATATTGACTCCTGAGATGAGTGCCAAATCAAAATTTTAAAAGCCGAATGTTTTAGATGTCTTTCATCTGCAGTAGTATGTACAGTGTAGTACTGCTGTCCAAATGTACAGTGTACTGTGCATGTATACAGCAGTGCACTGTATACCTGATGTGTAATTTACTGTATAATGATGATGAGAGTAGCCTTTTCACTTCCTAAATTATCATCCTGCAAATAGCAGAAGACAGAATTCCATTCAGATTTCTTACAAATGTTTCTATACGCAGTTGAACTTCTTGTGCATTGATTAGGCTGATTTGCCTCTCACGTGTTCCATGTTGAAAAAGCAAGATAAACCATGGCATTTCAGAGTAAAATTTTACCAATGCGCTGAATTGGTGTTTAAATTATATGCGAAACTAAGGTTGGAGAAGAACAGGCCTGTGTCAATCACAGTCGGTATCTTCCAACTTCACTGGGGCAGTACTGTATACTGTGTAGAAACTTCAACAAATCTCATTTCTAAGCCACCACCCGACAACCGCAATAATATACTGAATCTGAACTGAGAATAAATTATCCAAAAGCTTCATTTTCACTTCAAGTGGATATGGCAGAGGAAGTAATGAGGAAGATTCTGAATCAAATCCTAGTAGGGATTATCCATGGTGAGAAGTGATTTCTGCAATAATTCGTTGAAGAACTCCTGTTCGTGAAATGATGCAACTGAACCCTTTATACTGCCATTGTTGGAACGATAAGAGAGTCCCATGTGACGAAAGGCAATATTCAATAAAAATAGTGTACTGTATTTAATTGGGAAGTGCAGAACAGATAAGTGTATGGTGCTGCACCTTTCTCATTTTTCAAGTATGAAAGAAAAGGGTTTGTGGTACACATGCACCAATCCTTCTTGATGGGTGGAGAGGTACTACAGTATAAGTGGGTACTATACTTACAGCTTGTATATATATCTATAGAAAGTTTTTTAGAATGACTGCAATATGCGTTCTCCTTTTCAGATGTCATTGAGGATGAGATGAAGCCTAGTTTATGAGATTGTTAGCTTGGCTGATTTAGTGGTTATTTGAAACAGTTGTGATGAGGCCTTTTTTTGGCAATCGCGTTGAATATTACTGTAACATTTGCAAAATGTGTTTTCCCCTGCTCTTCATGAAAGCATTTCATTTGAAAAGACTCTTCCCATTGTGTGAGCTAGCAAACATATATTCATTGACGAATTGTAAAATCTCCTTATTTCTCCCATCTGCTGGAAATATAATATTTACTCCTGAGATGAGTGCCAAATCAAAATTTTAAAAGCCGAATGTTTTAGATGTCTTTCATCTGCAGTAGTATGTACAGTGTAGTAATGACGACAGGTTTACATGTCACATGACACGTACATATGTCGTCACGTGACATATGGACTACACATTAAATGACATATTACTACTACTCTCATCGGAAAAGTGAAGGATTTAATAGTAGGACGTTTACATGTCAGTTTTGAACCATGAAAACCTGTTTACACTCTGGAGCATGCAGCATATTTATTAGTTATATTTACCTGTGAATAGTATGTAAAATTGCTCCTCAATTATTTATTGTAACTTAATCTTAGTGCATTCCCAAAAAGAGCATCATTATCTCTGGAAGTATTCAGAACACATTTTAAAACTCTTGATAATATATTGTGGAAGCATTATACAGAAATGTTTTCAAAAATTCAAGTGTGAGCATCATGAATTCATGATTCAGTTTCATATTTTTGTACTAATACAGGATATTTGTGGGTCATATTATTTTCATCATTTGCTGAGCTCATTATGCAGCAGATTCAGGTTTATGTACTTCAAATTCTGCTGCAAATAATGATGGCTTGATGTATTGTTCTTACTCCAGTGTCAGTCAGACTCATCATCATGCATAGAGTCTTTATTAATGTTGCGTATAATGAAGGGCAGGGCTGTTGCATGATTTTAACACAAATCACTTGACATCTGCTGTATTCCACCAAACGCAGTGACCTTATGTTTCCTTCATTGTTTGACTGGATAAGAAAACAGAGTATGTTAAATCTGAACACATTTTCAGGCAGCGCATCTGCAGTAGAAAATTTGAACACACACAAGAAAAATGTACATATTTAGTACATGGCAGTTATTGTGGTGTTGGCATTCAATAGAAATTTCTTCCCCTCCAACAATAAAAGGGAGCAGTTATTATGATAACTTGAAATTTTCAAGGGCCCTTGTTGTTTCCACCAGGACCAGCAACAATAGCATAGTTGGACATGTAATTTTGTCCTCCAGGGTAGTACGTTTTAAGTGTTTTCGGACCTCCGGGAACCCGAGGACCACGTGGGGACTCAGGTCCGTAAGGACCAAACGGAACAAGTGGGGACAGTGGACCGGAAGGAACCTAAGGTTAAGGACCCCCGGGACCTGGTCCTATGAAAAAAAATTGAAACCCCTTTGTTATGGTTGTTCAGGTTTATTCTTTATCCCATGATGTAAAAAAGAATGTGTGCTATGAAGTGTCATCTCATGATTGTAATCAAGGTTGCCAAAACCAAAACGTTTGTTGATCAGTGCAAATGAAAAAAAATGTTGATGAAATAAATAACATGGCCAGTAATTTTTTGAATTAAATACAACATTTTGGAAATATTATGTACAGTTTCTAGCTGGGTAATCATCCCAGAGTTCCTAGAATAATTCCTAATCCAATTTTGACCTAGTCCTGGTATCTCAACTCTCTTTTCTTTTTTTTTTTACATGAAAGGAAGTTTAGCTTTATTATTGGGAAACTTTTTTTCTGGCCCAAGTATTCATTTTTTCAGGGGAGCTTTTGCCAACAATTTTTAAGGAACTGCTGCTAATGTCTTGGAGTTTGATAGATAGAAGGATTAATCAAACCTGGAATGCCTGCAGGCCCTGCTGGTCCTATTTTGCTTTCTCCTTGAATGCCCTGTTCTCCTTATGCAAAATTCACAAAAGCCTGGAGGCCCTTGGGCTCCTGGTGCACCCCTGAGTCCAGGCATTCCTGGTTTGCCTTGTTCACCCCTGTCACCTGGCCTTCCTTGGATTCCAATTCCTGGGGGCCCTGGAGGTCCTATGAAAATAAATTAGAAACCCCTTTGTTATGGCTGTTCAGGTTTATTCTTTATCCCATGACGTGAAAAAAAATGTGCTCTATGATGTGTCATCTCATGATTGTGCCCAAGGTTGCCAAAACCAAAACTTTTGTTGATCAGTCCAAATGAAAAAAAAAGTTGATGAAATAAATAACATGGCCAGTAATTTTTGAATTAACATGCACCATTTTGGAAATATTATGTACAGTTTCTAGCTGGGTAATCATCCCAGAGTTCCCTGAATAATTCCTAATTAAATTTTGACCTGGTCCTGGAATCTCAACTCTCTTTTTTGAACATGAAAGCAAGTTTACCTTTATTATTGGGAACCTTTTTTTCTGGCCCAAGTATTCATTTTTTCAGGGGAGCTTTTGTCAACAATTTTTAAGGAACTGCTGCTAATGTCTTGGAGTTTGATAGATAGAAGGATTAATCAAACCTGGAATGCCTGCAGGCCCTGCTGGTCCTATTTTGCTTTCTCCTTGAATGCCCTGTTCTCCTTTGTAACCCATTTCTCCTTTTGGTCCAATGCTACCTGGTGAACCCTGGAAACCTTGCATCCCCATTAAGCCCCTTTCACCAGGAATACCTGACACACCAGGATCACCTGTGAAAAATTCAGTTTTACATTGGATATGTCAAAAATCTGGCATGACTATTTCATGCCTTGAGGGCCAGGGTCTCCTTGTGGTCCTGGTCTCCCCATCCTGCCCACACCAGGAATTCCCCTGGGGCCGGTCAATTTTGCAGTCAATTCTGCCATGTGATCTGGAAAATTAAAAAATATATATAACCTTGTATCAAAAAACCAAAAATATGACAATCACCTTTTAGGACACTAGCACAGATATCCTTGAGATCTTCTTCAGTATAAACTCTGCCCTGAAAATAAGGGAAGCAAAGATGGTAAATTACACAATTCAAACTACAACAAATAAGGAAGGTTAAAAGCACTTTTTATGACGCAGTTGAAACAATTCTGTGAAATGAGTTTTCCTGGAAGATGTAACATGAAACATTCCAACTTGGAGTGACTGATGGAAGCAAGATTATAAAGCATAAAAAAGCTTTCAAATACATGCAGTGGAGCTCAGTAAGTTAAGTAGACTTTGATCAGCCATTCTCAAATTACAATCACATTTCTGCTGGTGCTCTTGAAAATTTCAAAATTGAGTTGCTTCATTGCATCAAAATAGAAAAAGTATCTCTTTGAGTTTGATATCAATTAAATATGATATGCACATTATTAAAAGTAAACATGCATGCTTCCTATAGATGCTGATCAGAACTTTTGATCCATGTATGACACATTTGTACTTGCTCATAATAAATTGTCAATTATTTTGAAAATGCACACATTTTTTTGCCTGCTGGATGAAAAGAATTAGGCTGGATCCAGACACAAGGTCAAGCCTAAAAAAAAGCCAAAGAATGAAGAGCAACTCACAGGTCTGCCATTTTCACCACTTTGACCAGGTTCTCCCCTAGCCCCTGATGCACCTGGGATTCCAGGTGGACCAGATACACCAGGAGGTCCTTGTTGTCCAGCAGGTCCCAGGGGCCCTCTCTCACCATCACTGCCTCTTTCACCAGGCTGATGAAATAGAAACAAATTAATATTCTGTTCATTTAAATCGCTTGAAAATGCACTACAGACTATTCCCATTGGTCCAGGCATTCCTTGGGATCCTCTTTCCCCTGGCAGACCAACAATATTGCCATCAAGTGTCTTCATTTCTCCTGGGGGTCCTGGAGGGCCTGCTGGTCCTGCTGGACCTGTTTTACCAGGTATTCCCATTAATCCCATTGGACCTGGAGGTCCAACATCTCCATTTTGTCCCTACAGTTGAAAAAAAACCACAATGTAGATGACTTCCAGGAAAATATTATCAAATTGTTGGCACCTGTGGTCCAGGCAAACCTCTTGGCCCAGAAATTCCAGGATCTCCAGTCCTCCCCATGTCTCCCTTTGCACCAGGTGTTCCTGGGCTTCCAGGAGGACCATCTAAACCATCCAAACCCTGAATAATGAAAAATTAATACCCACATAGTTCCTTTTTTTTATGAGAATTGCTCTCACTGATGATCCAGTTTCTCCCCTTAGCCCAACGTCTCCCTTTTGACCTTGCAAGCCCTAAAATCAGACAAAAAAATAAATGTTGTTTCAAGGATTTCAAGCAAGGATCAACCTACTGGCACTCCATCAGTTCCTTGAGGACCCTTGTGTCCTGGTAGACCAGGAACTCCTCTTTCTCCAGGGGGACCTGTTGGCCCAGGTGGTCCAGGCAATCCTTGGATTCCAGGAACCCCAGGTGAACCTGTTAATAATGTTTTATTTAGTACAGTAGTTGCAACTGAAAAAGTGAGAGCTCTAGTGTTTTACATATTTTCTTATTCTTATTTGAGAAAATAAAAGGTTTATCTACAGTCTTGTGGTCTATTATTTCCCAATGTCATGCAGGATAACATGATATAATGCCTGAAATTGAAAAAGCAGCGCAATTAGAGGAAAACAAGAAATGACCTAAAATGCACTTGAGATCAAATGGAGTTGGTATGGTATGTTCAAGCACAACTGTACTCAACATCAGAGAAATGGTTCATTGGGATGTTGGATGCTAGTTAATGGAAGGATGCTATACCTGGTAACCCTTGCTCTCCTGTGGGGCCTGTTTCTCCTGCCCTGGCAATGTCCCCTGGTAAACCTGGTGGGCCACTTTCTCCTCTATCTCCCTTGTGGCCACGAGTTCCTGGAGGACCAGTCAAACCCATGGAACCCTTGAAGGAGAAAAACAAAGGGTTTTGTGGTCATATCAAAATTTATCTTCCTAGTCTGCAAAACATGCTGAATTCTGTTCTTTTGTCAGATTTTACCCTTGTTTGCATACATTGTAAAAAAGGAACTTGATGGAATGACTGTGTAAATACTATTTTGGAGAGACAGATTTTGCTTGTGAAACAAAAAAGTGGGGTGGAGCTTAAATCTTGAGAAATGGGTGACAAAAATGAAGATTTTTATCTCCAGTGCCATGTTCATTTTTTGTCATACAGTAATTAAAAAAATATAAAAGACAGACACTGTAAAATCAAACTTGCTTGTTGACATTTTTTCATTGATAAAATTGACTCACATTGAAAACTTTAATCTTTGACAACACTTTCTGTACACAAAAATTCATGCATTTCAGCAAGGTTTGAGTTTGAACTTTTGAAGTATATTCAAAGGTAAGATAAACATAATCAAAAAGGGAATTATGGTAAAGCTGTTTCCTTTTCTAAACTCAAGAAGTTGTGCCAAGTTGACAGCTTGAATGCTGGGGTTACATAAATTTAAAGAAAAGAAAATAAAGTGTGCTGAAATACACAGAGTTTTCAAAATACACTCAAGATTTTTTTGTGAGCCCTATAGCTGAGAACAGAATGAACATTTTTCAGGTACTGTATAACCCAAGGTAAATAATATTGTAATGCATTGCATTTCAAACATCTTGGCTATCAAAACTCACCCTGAAGAGATTTGTTTTTTCATGCATGGATCCAATCATAATTATTTTTTTTTTAGCAGACACAATTTAAAACCCACTCTCTTTCAGTCTTCTGACCAGTTTCTAGCCTTGAAGAAATTTGGAAGGTCAACAAAAAGTGAGTTGGTGCAAGTAGACATTTTTTAATGCTCAGATATAAATGAAGGAAAAAGGTATGACTCACTGGTTTGCCCATTTCCCCAGGAAGACCCTGTCCACCAGGCAGTCCAATGAACCCTTGCTCCCCCTTCTGACCAGGGGCACCAGTCAACCCAATGAGGCCTGGTTCACCACGCTGACCATTGATGCCAGGATTACCACCAACACCTCTTTCCCCTTTGTCACCTAATGGTCCTGGGTCTCCCCTGTCACCCCTTGCCCCCCTCTCTCCTTTCTCTCCAGGCAATCCAGGTATCCCAGACTCTCCAGGTCTTCCAGGTGCCCCAGGAGGACCCAGGACAACCTCCCCAGCAACTTCCACTCCTGGGGGACCTGGTGGACCCATGATTCCCTGATTGAATGAAAAATCATTACAAAATAAAAATGTTTCCCTGAGTGGAATGGCCTTTGTATAATGCGCACTGGTTCTCCTGCAATACCCCTAGGTCCTTGTACCCCAGGAGACCCAGGGTCTCCCTTTGGACCTCTCCTTCCAGGGTTGCCATCAAGCCCTCTTGGCCCTGATTCTCCTTGAACACCCTGAGAACCTTGCTGTCCTTTTCCTCCCTCTGATCCTGGTGAACCCTGACCATATGGTAAGTTTTTATTTATTTAAAGAAAATATGTTACAATTTTTTTTTCCATTTGAAGGCTGCTCACTGGTGAACCAGGAGGTCCCATGGGCCCCATTGGTCCAATAGGGCCCACAACTCTCACTGCATCTCCTGATGGGCCTTGGAGTCCCTGTGGTCCTTGAGGTCCAGGGAATCCTTGAACTCCAGGCTCACCCTTTTGTCCTGATAAGCCAGGGAATCCCTATACACAAACTTATGAAAACTGTGCACAAACTTGATTCAAATTTGATCAAATTTACCATTTCTCCTCTTTCCCCAGAAATGCCACGTTCACCTTTCAAACCTGGGCCACCTGTAAGACCTGGTGTCCCCCTCAAACCAGGTAAACCTGAAGCCCCAGGAGGACCCTGATTGAGTGGAAATTTTTTAGAAATTCAGTTTCTACCCTGCATTACTCTCAGTTTCTAAAATTTTCAGATATGGTTATCAAGAATTAGGAATGAGAGAAGAACTACTACCTCATCACATTGAAATCTTTTGAAAATGCAGCCTTTTTATTTCAAGTGTTGTCTCAAATCACAAATTCAATATTTTAAAACAAAAGTTCATGATTTCATGAACTCAGCAACAACTTTGCTAATGCATTTCAACAATGTTGATCTTTTTCATAATTAGCATTCAACATATACCTGTACTCTTCACCAGTTATTAAAATATTTTGATTTTTAGAAGTCAAACAATGTAACTGAATGCAAATGAGCAACTCACAGGAAAGCCAGGGATACCAG